TCGCAGCACGACTGAGTCCAAACAACAGTTTGGGTATGAGTGCGCAGAGCCAGAACCAGATTAACTTGGTATTAATTCTCCTTTACTTTAGTGTAATAGTTGTCTTTCCAGGATCTTCAGGACTGCAGCTGATGGCTACAAAGGATACGGGCAGGTAAAAGGATCCGACGTATCTCGTGATATTATCTTCATAACCTTCAAGCAAATTCCTATAAAGATGTGGATTTCAGACATATGTCTCAGCGTAACTAAAAAAGGGCAATGCGCATATTTCACCCAGTTTTTTTTGGGGGGGAGGAATGATCCTAAGAAGCCGGCACGAGTAACTTGGAAGTTTGCAGCACCATTCAACTCTGGGTCTCTGAAATGCAGCAAAGATTACGAGAAGCCTTTGTTCCTACACTGCGAAGCTGTTAGAACCCACAGGGCTAACTACGAGTTGGCTCACGCTTGATTTCTTATCCCTGGTTTGGCCACGGGGAGTTCATAACCTCTGTTTTTGTAAGATGGGGTGGGGCAAACCTCCGCAGAGCACTGGCATCCTGTGAAGCCTGCGGGCTCCTCACCCCTTGTTGGCACGATACCCTTTCCCCCCCCATCCTGCCCCAAATATACCCGAGAACAAAAGATCATCAGCAGGGCAGAGGTGATAAATACTGCGAAGAGAAAGAGCAGCGGTCTTCCCAAAAAATGTTCTGGGGAATCCTGGGGTTTTTCAGAAGGCTTATTTGGGGGTCCTCAGTGAGAGGACAATTTGGAAGAAGGCTGGGCTCAGCAACAGACAAGTGGGCCCACCTTCATCAACCTTCCCCTGGAAAGTGCAGCTGCATGGCAGAGTTGAGGGCTTTCTCATGTGTTTATTCACATTTCATGCAGGGACTATGGTGAAGCCTGATACGGGTCATCTTAATGCAGGAGCCCCCAACGTGCCCAAAGATACCTTTTGTGGGTCAGCCAGGGCCCAGCGAGAGCGAGGACTCCTCGGGAGTCTTCAAGGGTTCTAGGTTCTCTCAGGAGGAGCCCCCTGTAGCCAGCTCTGAGTCAGCAGAAGCGGGCAAGCAGGAAGATGAGCTACGGGCTTGTTAGGATTCACAGCCAACAGCTGATGCAGAGCCACAGACGCCCTTCAGCCCTGATTCAACAGGTGAAACTCAGTTGATCATTTCCAGCCCTCCAGTTTCACCCACACCTTTAGAGCGCTGCAGACAGAGGCTATGAACAAAACTACAGGAGAGATGACAAAGTGCACGCCTCCTGGCCTAATGCTAGCTGCTTGAGTAGATGGAGGATTACTCCTGCACGGCTGGCTGCAAACATGACCCTTAAACATATGGCCATAAAAACCAGCCAAGGGAGGCTGTAGGCGTGGAAGCAACAAGTCGAAATCCCTCTGACTCTGTGACCACTGCACTGGATCCAGCCTCAACACTGTGACTCTTTGGACTGTTTCCTGACTCTGCCTTTGCCTTGCTCTTGAACCTGCTTGTGAGTAACTATTGGATTCTCAGACCTAGCTGTAAGGACTGACTCTTGGACTAGAGTCCTGACTCTGTGCATTACCTTGGACCGGACCTTGACTACGCTTCTTGAGTTTGTGCTCTTGTCTTACTCACTCTGTACTCTGACAGTGTGCCCTACATTGTTTCAGGCCTGTCTCACGACAACAGCTTTGCTGGCACCCACCAAATGTTTTTAGAAAGTGGGTGGGGCCAGATGGGGCTTTTGCCAAACAAGTCATCTGACTGGCCACTGGAGATCTGATTGGCTGCACAGATTTTTTAAAAACACTGCTTTGGCAGCAGCGAACACCACAGCACAGTGAGCTTCCCTGTGTGACTTAAGGTAAGCTGTGGCAGCCATTTGTTTGTGGCTGGCTCCATCTTCCAAAGCGGCCATTTTGTGGCTTTGCCCACCACGCTGTATCAGAATTCCAAAAAGTGCCCACAGGCTCAAAAGGGTTGGGGGACCCTTGTCTTAAAGGGTTCTGGGTTCTAAGAGAGAGCCCTAGAGCATTCAGTTGCTGGAGTTCCCAACCTGGTTGAGCGTGGAACTTTGAGAAAGAGTGTTGGATGCTGCCATAAAATGGCACCGACATGCATAGAAGGCAATCACAAATGGTGGGTGTAGAGGTGGAGCCAGTCACAACACAGTGGGACGTTCCAGGCCAAGTATCTTCCTGTGATAGAGGCAGCTGCTGCTTAATGGATGGCCAAGGCCTCCTACGTTCTTCTGAAGCCCCTTCCAGTTTTTTGTTTTTATCTCCCAAGACTCAAAAAGCCAGCGAGCACCAGAAAACACACCCCACTAGCACCACCCAGGTGACTGCTGCTCTACAAGAATTCTCTGTGATGCATAAGAGCTCTTATGGCCAATTAAGAAGATAGTGTGGAAAGGCTTCCCTGATAACAGAAAGTTTGAAAGCAACTGGCTCAGAGCAGGGGTGTCGAACATAAGGCCTGGGGGCTGGAATCGGCCCATCCAGGGCTCTCATGCGGCCCGCGAGCAATTAGTGTAAGGGAGGGAACAGGAGACTGCTTGTGAGGGGAGTGGGCGGAGCCACTCTGATTGGGGCTTCAGCCTGGCAGAACAACCTCATCTGCAGCAGTCAAGCAGCGTGGGAGCGTCTGCCCCGGGCCTCCCCCCTGGGTCTCCCGTCCGCCCATGTGGGTTTTCCTTTTGACCACCCCCCCCCCCGCAGCCCATGAGGCCTTGCATCGAGGATACACCCACTCGGAGCTTACCAGCTGCTGTCCTTTATACAGTTTATTATCTCCAGTACCTGGCATTACGTTTTATGGCACACACGGCACGGCCCGACAAAGTGACAATTATGTCAGATCTGGCCCAGGTAAGAAATGAGTTCGACACCTCTGGCTTAGAGAAACGGGAACTGCATCTAGTTGGGCCAAGCTCTGGTTGAAAGGAAATTCAGAGCAAAGGACAGAAGCACTAGAAAGAGGACAATCTACTCAGGAACGCGTTATGTTTTGCCTCAATCTTTAATGAGCGGGGAACTCTGAGGTTTGCCCTCCCCCTCCGTCTCCCATTTGCTTCTGTGGTTGTCATGGACGGAGGTCTCTAAGAAAGGCAGCGTGAAAATGATCTAAGTGTAGAATAAATATTGCCAGATTTGACCTGATATTCAGAGCTTTAACCCTAGGGGGAAAATCCCTTTAAATTATTCATGCCACTGGGGAGGGGAGTAAACCCTCCTGATACACACTCATTTCCATCACATCTTCACTTAGCAGCGCTTTCAAACCCGCTGGGGGGGAAAATGCACTTTCAGTCCACTTCCAATGCACTTTAATGACTGTTTGAAAGTGGATTTTTGCCATTTCGCCCAGCAAAACCCAGTTGCAAAGTGCATGGAAAGTGGACTGAAAGTGCATTATTCGTTGTGTGTGAAAGTGAGATTGGCAGACTACTCCAATACCATCTGGGACCAACCCAGACTACACTAATATCCAGGGTACATTCAGACTCCAGAATGAGTTATGTGCCTATCGTCCATCAGCTCATAACATCATCACTATGGCTTGGACCCCACCTAATGAGGAACGAGGGGTAATTCTTGCTGATTGCCTTGTCCCATGTCAAACCTTCAACTCCCCCAAGCTCTTTCTAGGAGTCCCCCATTCTCCAGGAGCAACGTTTTGGGTGGCATTTTGGGCTTCAGCGAGAGAGGGAGGTGGGGAAGGTCTCTGTTGCCGGAAATCCTTCCATCTGCAGAAGTTTTTGGTGGGATCAAAGGGTATATAACCAGACCTGAAATGCCACTACCGGGATGAATTTTTTTTTAAGTTCCATTTCATCGGGGCGTTCACCACCACCTTTACCTTTGCTCAAAAAGGTGCATCCAGTTAAGAGGAACAAATTTAGAGTCCAGTGGCACCTTTAAGACCAACAAAGTCTTGTTCAAGGTATGAGCTTTTGTGTGCATGCACACTTTTTCAAATGTGCACATGAAAGCTCATACCTTGAATCAGGGATCATTTCATAGAAAAAGAGGTGCAGGAGCTCATTAGCATAACTTATTTGCATATGCCACACCCCCTGACATCACTGGAAGTGTGTCAAAAGGCAACACCCACCGCTCAGGCTCCACTGGACTGTTTTGGATTGCTAGCTA